GAATTTGAATATTTGTTACATATAAAAATATTGAACTGTAATTTTAATCTGGCTATATTACACACATAGACTGATATCTTTAATAATAGTTATTTTGAAAAAATAGCTCATTAAATCTTCTGTCACCAGTCATTCATCATACCACAGTAGCTGTATTGTACATAATAAAACTTTAAGCACTCCAATTTTGCTCATGTTGTGCTCTGGCAATAAAATATGCATGGAGGGTATATTGGATTCAATTTGTGCTTGCTATTACAGTGTAGAAGCCAACGTATCCACACAAATGAATGAGGAATGTGAAAGGGACTAAATAGTGACGTCTTTGGGGAAATATTGATATGAGAATTTTTCAGGGGGTAGCAACTAAGATTCACAACCTGACAGATAATTGATCAAAGGGCCAATGCAATTATTTGAGTGATTGGCTTGGGCACTCACCCATTGATTTTTTAATATCTTGTCAAAATGAGGCACCAGTGACACATTTGTAAAGATAGGCAATCACCTGAAATACTTAAGGCCAGGCCAGAAATATTTTAGCACACACAGGAACAGTGAGAGCTCCAGACAGCATTTCAACATTTGTTTTTATATCGCAAGTATATTAAACACACCAGAATTCTTCTCTCAAATAGAAAATGCTCTGTTCCACCTTGCGAAATCATGTGGAAGTGGTCCACTGGGTTTTTAAACTCCATACCCCTTCACTAGAATCATTTGGATAATTTCAGCCCTGGCATTGCCAATCTCAACTGAACTAAAGTTATCTGTAAACTACTGCTTCATGAGATCACAAGGTGGAATGGAGCATTTTAAGATTTAGAGATGTAGACAGACTAATAATGTAGGATTATTCAAATATGTGTGAATGAAACAAAACATAACTCGAGGCATGTTTTTGAGGTGATTATAATATGGCAAAGAGCTCATAAGAATCAACTTTGCATAATATAGGACCTTCAAGTCAACAATATTTTTTTTTATTTTAATGGGGTTGCAAGTTAATGTATAGAAAGCCAAAATGCATGATAAAAGTTCGATTAAAGTGTACATTTGAAGTAAAACCTACATCATAAAATATTTTTATTGCAATACTGGTGACCGCAGTCATTGATATAGCAAGAAAATACATATATACAGAAAGATCTCTTGCTGACTCAAAAAGTATATTACAAATAGTGCAACAATATTGTTATCACAGTTGTTTATATATTGAGTAGCCCTACTCTGCGTAGTAGAAGGCAATATAGGATTTGCTTTTTTGAGCCCAGAAGCGAAACATCAAATGAAGGTTCCTGTGCTTCCAGGCAATGTTCATAGTCAAGGTCTCAGTATTGTTGAATTGCAAAAGACTGCATAAACCTGCGGTCAGTAGCTAAATAAATATTTTATTACTGTCCTTCAATATTTGCAACTACAATACTTTGAAGTTACCCAGTCTTCCCTGTAGAACTAAAACCTAACATCATCCAAACATGAGTGAGCTTTCACTCTTCACAGTCCATGCCTCTGTACACCCAGAGGTAACAATAGAATCTCCAAACATGGTGCGATCAAGTAGCAGCCATGAACACCTCTCTGAATGACAGGAGGCTGTAAATCCCAATATGACAAGAAATCAGAGACACAATAGAGGAAAACTATAGAAATGGTTTAAACTTTCTGATTGAATAGAAGAGTTTTATTAATTAGTTTTCGAAATATTCATTGATGATTCAGCATACTCCAGTAAGTAAACTTTAACCAAAATGTATTTTCTAAAGTATTCTTGCCCCAGACCCAAACCTCGGACTGAATTAAGGTAGCCTATTGTAAAGGTAAAAAAAAATATATGGAAAAGGAAATTACATAGATACAGCTGATTGCATTAGTGATAATTCAGTTTGTAATTGCCCTATTTTCTGATTAATCGCTTTCATTAAGTGTTCTTTATTTTGTGTCTGATTTTATATTATAACAGAAATTGACTGGAACATAGTCTATTTTTGAAAGGAAAAATTACAATTTCAAATTTTGCAATCTTAGAAACACATGACTGACCAGCTTTATTTTTCTTCTGTGATATCAAATATTCAAGGCTTTTTTTTTTCCATCCGTCTGTTTCTCCACTGTTGAGTAAAACCCCAGTAAACATTATTAAACACCTCTGCAAGCAGTAGCAAAGTTTATTTCCACTATAGTGAGCTGGCATTTCCTCACCACTACATCTGCTGTTCCCAGCCATGGGAGGACAAACGCCTTTTGGCAGACTGCACAACAGAAGTGACTAAGCTGCCAACAGGGATCATTGGAGAGGTGACAAATTAGAGTTTGTTAATAATGCAATGAAAGGAATGTGCAGTAAAAAGATCCATTTGCATCAACATTGAGAGGTTCTCATCTTTGGCTGCTAAGGCCTCAAGGGAGCAAGTGACAAATAATTGATTTTGGGTGAGGACTGCACTATGATGCAGAATCCTAAGTAAGGTCAGTCACGGATTTTGTAGAATGAGGTAACAATGTGTCCTGTCAGGCTCTTGTGTATTTGGTTATGATGGTGTACAGACATTCAGGTTTCTGGACATCTTTTTCTGTCCACAAATTGATAATTTATCACAAGGGGTTGTTTGAAAGTTAACATGCAGTGCACAGTGAGAGACTTCACCACATCAGGAGGTGCACCTGCTGCAATTTCTTTGATTGGAATGAGAGATTTTGGGGAAAGCTGACTGAAGTAAAAAACTAAGTAAACCAGAATGCTTGAGAAAATTTACAACATTAATAAGGCACTCTGTAAGTTTTAGGTAGAGGATACAAAACCTTTTCTCCAATGAGATGATACCTACATGGTACATCTTTAATACACTATAAAATATTGTATTGTTTTTATATTCATTCATATAAAAAAAGGCTAAAAGTTAGTTCTTAGACTCCCCAAATTTGATATTTTCCTGTGTATACTGCATGACTGACACTAGTTTAGATGTGTTTCCCTTGGCTTTATCATTATGTCCCAAGAATGACCTGTGTAATGTGGTGAACCAAAACTTCCCTTAGCAAACAACTGTCTGTCTTTTGTTTAACCTCTGTAAGGTCCATAGCCTCCTCTCACTCCTGACCAGAGACAGGGAGATTTAAATCATTCAACGACTCATTCATATCACTGCCTCCACCACATCCACCTTGAAGTGACTCTTGACCTGAAGAACAACACAACAGTGTTCTTTTCTGCCCCACGTTAATCTTAGCTGTAATTCTTTATTGGAGGTCATGTGTCTGAAAGGATATGCAAAGCAGGCTGAGAAACTAAAGCATATTTGATATTGCATGTTAATTCAAGGTCACATTGTGCAGAAAATGTACTGTACTTTGTTATAAATGATGGAGACATAAGTGCTTATTCTAGAGTTTATTTTAAGCCTTTTCCATTTGGTTGCTCGAATACATTTCAGAAGAGAAGTAAAAAAGGCTGTAGAGTTATTTCTTGGACTGGGCATGTACATTCTGTCTATCTCATGGGTCAACATGTGTTTAAAGGTGCTATGTCAAAAATATTCCCCAGCATGGCATTCAATTTATCTATGTCCATTGACAGATGATGCCGCTCACAGTATGTATATGTCATACTGTGGCACATTCCAGGCAAACCAGTGACATCTTCATAGGGACAAGTATAGGTAAAAGTCACCCATGCCTTCAAATACAATATATCATGATCAATTATAGGGTAATTGGAGAACCTAAAATGCTTTAAGTGAATGAAGTGAATTAAGTGAATGTAACCACAAGTGATTGTCTGTGTCTCTACTATGCCTGCTGTGACTATCTGGCCACTGACTTGCCCCAAACCCTCAACATTAAGTGGAAGAAAATAGAAGAAAATTAAAAAGCAAGCTCCATCCCTAAAATGATTAATCTATGTGTAAAGAAATGAACAATAGGGCTTGAAGCTGTAAGCAAGCACTCATGTGTTGCAGAGGTTAATAGAATTTGCCCTTTTAAATGTAAAATACCTAATATATCTATACAGAGCATCTAATCCATCACATTGATTTGGTGTTTTATTCAGTGTTGCTCTTTTTAAATGTTAAACTACTGTTTGTTCTGTATGACATGTTTTAATCTGCAGCGATTAACAGTGTGTGTATGGTGGTGTATAATAGGGACACATCAAAGAGCTTCTCTGGGATTGTCCATTGTGTATGTATGGAGGTGGATGAAGTCGCCATTACTGCTAATAGGCCCGATAATCTAATTAAGAGATGTCTCTTTTACTGCAAACTTGTTGGGTGAAATGTATTATAAAAGTGTATTATTTATTTTATGTTTAAGTACAAAGACTATAAGAGATTTGCATTATAAATATTCAACAGATCTACCACTCCTGTCTAACAAAGGCAACTCTAAATAATCAATTGTTTGTTCTCTGAAGACCTAACATAATTAGAGCTGATTGGACTACTACAGGTGGGCTGGTTAGCCCCCCCACTGCAGCCTTCTGTTCCAAATATGTAGCCTCTATTATTATGGCCATTTGACCTATTTACACAGAGGTTTGTCTAATCTCACACCGTGAATACAACTATTTCAGTAACTATCACTTGCAATTAAAAGATTAACTTTTCATTGAATAATTGAACTGAAAACAAAATAGCCCTATTTATTTAGAAAGGCTTTAGTAGTGTTAAGCCTCACAAATAGATACATACTGTCAGTTAAATAATTAGCTGCTTTGAGGGACATTTGTCGTTTAAGTCACGCAAGTCAGTGCTTTGAAGGGAAGCCAGTTATGTGTCTTAGCCCGTTCCCGTCCATTTTGAAAGGGGCAGCTTGTTGCGCACGCTCTCTGGGTGCTCTTTAATTAGTGAGCGCTCTTCGGTGGCGGGGGAGGCGGCTGGGCTGCTCGTTACAGCGCAGCACACTACAAACTTGTGCTGCTGAAACTTTGACTAGCGCCGTTCAATTTTCATCGCTCAAATCCTTTAAAGTAGCGTTTATGTTGCTCAGGAAATCCCCTCATGTCTGACGAAGGAGAAGAAAGCGATGGTGGGAGAGCGCGTCTCTCGGAGTCTCCCTCCTCGCCGCGGTCCCTCAGTCATCCCCGAGGATCTCCTTCCTCTCCGCGGCCCCTGGACCTCTGCTCCTCCGCCTCACCGCTGCTTGGAGATACGGACCCACCGTATCTCGCTTCTCCGGAGTGCCTCAACCCATCATTAGAGAGCAAGGACCCGGACTACTCCACACAATTTACACCTCCAAAGTTCCATCAGTCCACTGATGACACAAGCTGTCCTATTGCTTCGCGGCAGGATGTGCGTTTAAATGCGGTATATGACCACTATGATGACCCGTTTCCCAAATGGAGAGGTCGTGGCGCGGCGAATGCGGAGCGCTTTCAGCACCGCGGACAGAGATTGCACCGTGGCCCGGAGCTGTCGGACTACGGAAATCACTATGGTGGGGAGCAAATAGACACAGACTTCAGAACAGAAAGCCGCCAAACGTGAGTTAACCACAACTTTTAATCATAAAACTGTACCCAAACAAAATTTATCAGAAAACACAAGACTGGTTTGAATGACCACATACAGCCAGTAAACTCATTCTGAACATAAGCCACTTGTTCTGTCAGTAAAGCAGCCAAAATTCATATTGAATCAGCTGTATTTACATGTAGCTTATAAGCTCTCAAAGAGCTAAGGTTTAGTGTCTTTGAGCTTTTACTGCAACTGAAAATTGATAAGGCAAGTGCAAACAACATTTAACATTTCACAGGCATTTTAACCAAAATGCATATTCTGTAACTATTACTAAATTACTTGTACAAGATGACGTATAGCCTATTATAGTATGCATGCCATGTGACATATACTTTCAGAATATGATGGGGGCTGGGTTAAAGGAGTTTACCCTTGTGTTGAGAAGGCACTTGATTGGTTCCTTTGCATGAATGCATAATCAGTCGACAGGGATGTACTCTGAGGAGAGATAGAAGTGTGAACAAAGCCTGTCAGGAAGTAAACTAAAGAAACTGGTTACAGCCAAGACATCAAAACAATACAACTTTAATTACAAACACACAATCACTAAAGCCTGATGGGAACCGGATGCCATTTTGCAGTCCCTTTGTAACTCTTCCATATGTTTAATTATAAGCACTTGAAGGCCGAGTGCACCAGAGCTGTCTCGTGTAATAGACAAAGACAGATAATGGATATTCATGTTGCCCTGCCAGGCTTGACGATCACATATTGAGAATAGCAGACCCAGTGTCTGCTCTTTGATCTGCCCTGTTCTGCTGCTTTCATTTGCCAGAGTTGAGTTTTATAGGCCCAGAATGAGGAGAAAGTATGGACTGTATCTCCTGGAACATGAACATGTCTGAAATGTGCTGTGGACACTACCTTTGATCTGTGCAATTTGCAATTTGCAGCTTGAAAGAATATTGAAACAGAGAGAGAGAGAGAGAGAGAGAGTTGTGGGTGCCACTCAGACACTACCCACAAAATCTGATTAAGTGTAAAATCATCACCAAGTCCTGTGAACATGTTGGTGTGCTCAGATGTTATTTTCTTCTCTTCCTTTCAAAGTTGGAAGTTAGCCAAATTACTGAAAAATAATGACAGACTTAATTGTTTTGAATTTTGGTGGATTTCTGGAAGTGCATATTGCAGTTCCACTGCTTGTACCCTGTTTTCTTTTGAATTTGAGTAATTGTCCTACTACGATGTATTCCTCTCATTATTAACCCACTTGTAATTGTATTTTGATTCATGCATGTTGAAGTCATCTTAATTTAATGTAACTCTATAACTCAGTGTTACTATTCATCACACAATTATTTAAGATTGATTTGCCATTTTCCATGTGAACACTATTTGCACAGTGCTTTTTTAACATAGTGCCATTTACTGTTGTTAGATTAAAGGGCCTGTGCATTTTTTTTCCTCATGTATCTGAGCAAAATCTGTTTTGCCCCAGTACAGATACACTGTATAAGCTGCTCATGAGGTCAGAATATCTCCATTGCGTGCCAGCTGCATCTAATTATATGCTCTTATATTGTCCGATAATCAGGAAATGTGTATTAGCATGCAAGTAGCACACATTTGGGTATATACTTTACAAAGCAGCCTGGCTACTGGTGTGATTTTAGCTAAAGAAGAGCTATACAGCTGAGCGAGATGATTGGTTAAGCGAGAACGCAGCTGAGATGAAAACAAGGTAAAACAAATCTAAGCAGAAAATAATAATTTCTCGCCAAACACTTCCTGTGATAAACTGCCGCATTTTCATTGATAGCAACTTGAGCTGACATGCTTAGCAAAACAAAGCTAATGCATGTTAGCAAGGGCTTTTTCTCATTTATTCATACACAATGTATATAAACCCATAAAAGGCTGACAATAAACAGTAAACTTGAAGTAGTTGGTGTTTCTCTAGCTTTGGCCAGGTTGGTCTCAAAGCACCACAAACTTGGAATTACTAAACATCTTGAACTGCTGAGATGCACCTTATAATTTAAATGTATAATTCACGTACAATTTGGATTTTTAAGAAATAATTGTTATGTTTAGGTGATATCAGTTGCTCACATATCAAACCCTTGTCCCTGGACCTGTGGCCATGCAAAGACATACAGGCCGCCTTTAACACAAATGATGCCCAAGCATCAGTCTGGGCCAGGACCATTCAAAACATGGCTCACTTAATAGCATAACAGTATGAAATACACTTTGTTGGTGTGCATTTATCTCCATCTTTTTCCTGACTCTAATGTTGCAAAAACATGATGCAACTAACTTGTGTTCTCAGATCAGCATCTTAAATGGTCAGTGATAGATGGAAGAGGAGATAGAAAAAGATGGAATGTAGCTATTCATTACATGGCTATGAGGTTATCTAAATGGGCTTGCAGCCAGGCTGTCTCTGCTTTTATTTGAACTATTCTATTGTTTACAGGATTGCATAGGCAGTGGTCTTATGCATAATGCAATATAAAATGTTCTATATAAACAGTTGACTGTATGTAAATGATATAGTTAGGTTGTTATTGGTGATTGTTAAGTATGCAGTTTAATGAATAGTGTCCTTTTTAGGCACAAAGGGCATTGGACCAAACTGATCAGATCGGCATATAGTGAAACCTATGAGAAAATGCAATTATTGCTTATAGTCTGACAAAAATTTAAGAAAGTTGAATGTTTGAAAAAAACAACCAAAAAAATTAAACAATATTGTTATTTTTTCATAAATTTTAAATATTAGTTTATATTTAATTAAAATATTGAACTCATTCCTCTTTTCCACGTGACTGTTGGTCATTAAATTCAGAATAATTGGGCTTGTCTGGTTTTGCTTTCTTAACACATTTGTCTCTATATCTGTTCCCTAAGTTGCATTACCCTTTCCATACTGTGCATTCATTACTGTGAAAGACTGACAGCCCAAGGGAAACTATACTTATTGTGTAAATCTTTTATACCCTTAATCACACTGACAATGCAATGTTACATTGCAGTTCGTGGCCTCCTCATCCTGCAGAGCCTTGGCCGGCTCCTCTCTTCATCTTCTCACTTCCTCCATCCTCTAACACCCCCGGGGAATATTTTCACCATGAACGCATTTCCATTTTCACCTTTTTACTTTCTCTGTCCAGTGCGTAGAGCCACGCACACAACATATGCCTCCAAAGTGACTAGAATTACAAGTAGCTCTATAACTAGAAATGCCAGTCTGCTTTTGTAATAGTTCGGTTGGAGGTCACTAACCAATTCAAGGAAAGAAAATAGGGTGTTGTATTGATGTAGTCGGCAAGCTTATAGATAATACTTTTGATTGAATAAAACATCCTGTTTTTGTTTGACTTTTCTTTCTGGGGCATAAGCATATCATACACATGTCTGTTTTGATTTGGCAGTGTCTTTATGGCAGTTCCCTCCTGCTACAACCATCGTCATTTAGCTGGACTCAGAATGTGCACAAAGAAATACTGACTTATTAACTACCAATAATCATTTGCATTTAAAAAGTCTTATACAAGGTTAACAGGTTTCTTAATACATACATACATAGTAAAAAAAAAGTAAAAGATATTCTACTAGTTGCAGTCATGGAATTTGCCAATTTAAGATTGAATTTGATACATTCTTTAGTCCACTAATTGCCCTAAAAGCCCAATGGAGATTTCACATTCTTGTGATGTCCTACTTAATGATCTCACTTTTTCAGAGCTTTTAAATAAGAGAAAAGTGATTTGAATATTAATTTAACAATATTTTTTTTACATTAAATGCCCAGACTGATGCCACTTTACACTACAAGAAGCCTCTGGTCTTTGTTCCCTCTCATATTTCACCTCTGGGAGAATTTCTTCACAAAGAGCTGTGCTAGATAAGACTCACAAGAATCCTATTCTGTGAAAAAAAGTCTACAGACACCTGGTAAAATGTGTTACGCTCCCACAAAAGTCATTACAGTGCACATAGATACTGATGTGGAAGTTCAGCTGTTCTGTCCTGCTGGGTCATGGCATGCTTTGTCATTTGCAATTTTTAAAGAGCCCATATCGCACTATTTCCTGTTATAATGCTGTTACCTCATCATAAACATCCCTGAAATTGTGTTTTGTTTCATTCACACATATTTAACACACACATCCTGCATATTTAGGCTGTTTTTCTGAAACAAAAAACTCTCTATTCTACCTTGTGATGTCATGTGGTAATACAGGAAGTGCTCCAGTGTATTTTGAAACTCCATACACCTTTAGTAGAATCATTTGGATGATTTAAGCCCTATAATTGCCAGTGTCTATTGAACAAAGGGTAAAAGGTAGCGGTTAACTTGAAAACTACTGCTACATGACATCACAAGGTGGAACAGAGCATTTTGGAGATGGAGATAGACTAATAATAAAGGGTTATGCAAACATGAGTGTATGAAACAAAACATGTATTTGAGGAGGTAACATTATAACATGACCTAAAGCTCACAAGAGTGCATTTTGCTTAATATAGGACCTTTAAGTAGAAAGCCACCTTCTGAATTCAGTGGAACATATTCAGATTTTTAGATAGGACTAACATTGGCAGCCACTGATTGGAGTTTGTCATTGTGATGCCAATGAAGTCAAAAGCATAATTTCAATACTGTCAATCAGAGGCTGGCCTTGGTTGGTCTTGTGGTGAGCTTTGACCTGTATTGTTGTGCATAGATCTAGGGGCAGATTTATCACCACTTCTTTAGTTGTCCTCTGGGTTGTCTGACGTGTCCCTGACTTGTCTTGCCTTTTTTGTTGGTCCACATCCGCCCACCATCCATTAAATAACAGTAATTAGTTAATTTTCTGGTTAAGCCTACTGTCATGGATTCTAATGATCCAGCTGTCTTTTCCACTTGAGTGCTTTGTTCTTATATGTCACTTTCCACTTCCTCCCACCATCTTATTAGCCCCCAGTAACACACGTGTTTTTCCATTTGCAGGGTGGAGGCCATGCACCGGAGGCACACCACACTGCGGGAGAAAGGGCGTCGCCAGGCTGTGCGCGGCCCGGCCTACATGTTTAATGAGCGAGGGTCTGCGCTCACTGCAGAAGAGGAGCGATTCCTAGACGCTGCTGAATATGGAAATATCCCTGTAGTGCGTAAAATGCTGGAAGAGTCCAAAACTCTGAACTTCAACTGTGTGGACTACATGGGCCAGAATGCATTGCAGCTGGCCGTAGGAAACGAACACCTGGAAGTGACAGAACTTTTACTAAAGAAAGAAGGTTTGGCAAGAATAGGTGACGGTCTGCTTTTAGCTATTTCCAAAGGATATGTTCGCATTGTGGAGGCTATATTGGCACACTCAGCATTTGGAGGGGGTCTGCGCCTGGCAGTGTGCCCAATAGAGCAGGAAATGCGTGACGATGACTTTTACGCCTATGATGAAGATGGGACACGTTTTTCCCATGACATCACCCCAATCATACTGGCTGCTCACTGTCAGGAGTATGAGATAGTGCACATCCTGTTGACTAAAGGGGCTCGCATAGAGAGGCCCCATGACTACTTCTGTAAGTGTGACGAGTGCTTGGACAAGCAGAAGAAGGACTCTTTCAGTCACTCACGCTCCAGGATGAATGCTTATAAAGGACTGGCCAGCGCTGCGTACCTGTCCTTGAGCAGTGAGGACCCTGTGCTAACTGCCTTGGAGCTCAGCAATGAACTGGCAAGACTGGCCAACATCGAGACTGAGTTTAAGGTACAACTCTTTTCACTTGTATTCTTAAAAAGGAAAAAGTCAGATTAGTTTTACTCTTATTTACAATATAGTTCATACTAATTGACTGAAATAAAGAAAGACATTATGCGATGTAATGATTTTCTAGTCAGCTGACACTATCTTGACAGTGTGAAAAGTCACATTTTATGTTGGAAAAATCCATAAAACTACTTAAATGTTTCTCTCGTACTGTGTCAACATGTGACTCATGTATATCAAAATGGGTCTTTTTGAATGCTTTTAGCAATAGGAATAGTCATCAATTCTGATTATGTTATCTTACATAAAAAAGCTGCTGTCTGTTATCTCCAATTTGTCCTACAGCATGTAGATTTTCCCACACCTCACTGTCGTCTTTTTTCAGCCCTGTGTTTGTCGTTTGTCCCCTCTGCTTGTCATTCAGTTCCCTGTCTGCTGAAAAGTTAATAAGAAGGGCTCACCTGAGGGAGCGCACAAGTGCTAGAGCTCATCTGTCTCATTACCATCTCATTATCACTCCTACATCTAACATTTTATTTGTTTCCCTCTGTATAAATAACTTTAAAATATGATGCAACATTCGGTAATAAAAAAATTTGTCTGAATTTGACACTTAAAATCTCATGAAAGTAGCATATAATTGGGAAAAGTGACATTTAAACACAATGGCTAAATATTTGTCGACTTATCATCAGATGGTGAAGGAAGATGTTACCAATTTTTTCCAAGGTTAAAGTCAGCCATTGTTGAATTTTGAATTAATAAATCAAGTCCAACCATGATTTTTGTTATAATTCTAGTAACAACACAGGCTGAGCATGTTAAATTGTTCCTGAGAGAGAAGGTAAAAGCTTCTCTAGTGTTTATCTTCAAACTGCTTATGTTTTAAGCCTCTATTCTAGTTTCCCATAAGGCACAGTAAAAGTAGTCTATGAATGTTTGAGATGAGTCCCTCAGATTGACAAACAAATATCAATATTCACTGTAAAAAGAATGCAAAATTACTGTTACTACTACCTTTGCTTATTGCTACTTGCATGACAAAAAATATTATCTTTTATCATACAGCTTTTACTATAGTGCTGCTGTTACTACATACGGCACTACATGTCTTAAGCAAAATACACACTCACATACCAAGTACATTTTTCCCCAAGCCTCAGCTAAATGTAAAAGTATTTTGTTTCCTCCCATGTCTAACCAACAGTGCTGTAAAATGAGGCATGCTGTGTGTCCATGGTGGTCCTGCCAGTCCACTGACAGCACAGCTCCTGGCCTGCCCCATCCCTGTGTGCCTGTCCCTCCGCTCACTCATCTGTAACACTCTCACTCGGCTCTGTCTCCATTTTCAATCTCACAACACTACTCCTTCCCTTTATCTCACGCCTGGGGCAGCAGCCACATTTTGTGAATTATGATTGGATTTTCACGTGTGTGTGTCAGTGAGTGTGTGTGTGTCAGTGAGTGTGTACCTCTCAAGTCACTCAAAGGGTAAATACTATCGATTATGGAAACATCGCTAAACATACCGTCCTGTTACTGCACTCCTAAAGGAATTGTAAAATGCATGAGATAGCATAGTATTTTATTTCTCCCACACCTTAAGGGAAAATATACCAAATAATGTTTTTTTTTTCCCCTTCGTGTCCCTAAAGGGCAGAGTTGGTTCCCAGTTTAACTGTGTGAATCAATTTCATAGGTGAGCAATATGGGAAAAAAGTCATATAGTGAATTGCTCAGAGCCTTGGTAGTAATCTCGATTTTATCATGATTTATGAACTCACACTTGTATTGGCTTTAAGAGTTAACTATGTAAAGCTATCTGATTCTCCTGAGGTTCACCTACCTGTGTGGTTAAATCTGACTCTCACACAGACATGACCAAGAGGAGGGGGAGGGTACATACGCTCTGTGTTAGCATGAGTAAAAGCTCTGAATCACAGTTTTAAAATCTCTCCACATTGGCACATCCTCACAGGGTCTTATCTTGTTAATTTATATTAATTCTTTTATCACCCACCTTTCACCTCAGACTATTTGATGTAGAACAACTTTTCATAAAACCTTGGTAATTATTTTTACTTCAGCACAGATTTGTTAGATATACACAGTAGAAAAGCAAGCAGTTTTCATGAATCATTTTTTCTTTATGCAGTCTGGCACCATCGCTGATTAGGAGCTGGCGTACAGGATGTTTGTTTGCAATGACCAGTCCAATGCTCCAGATTAGCTTGCAGTCTCACAATAAACCAATATGCATAATGAAATTGGCACCAAATGAGTTTTATTAGATGGCCATCAACATAAACATTAGATTTTGTCTTTCATAGGTAAACCTCATTTAATAAGAAAGTACCTTAAATGAAAGTGCTATTGTGGCTATTGCAGGCACAAACTAAAATGGCAACAACATTGACTATAAATGGTGTATGGATAAGCATATACCAACATAATATAATATAACATAATAAAAGGTCAGTGTAAAGAAGCTCATTAATGCTAATGCTGAGATATGCATCTGCTCCATAATCAGTGTGTCTTTATGGTGAATAATGGAAACCACTAATAGGAAGGCCAAGTGCATTCATCACAGTGGTCAAATAGAGTTATGATAATACAGTGACTGTTTAAGTGTCCTTGTCCCCCAAAGACCATAGTCAATATGCAAAAGTGGTGTTTACCATACTTGAATAAGAGAAAATATTTAATAATATTAAAAGTACAAATATTTAACTTATTTGAGTGCCGCTGTTTTACCTTTCATATGCATAAAGGCCTGGCACAATTGACTTCGTTCAGTATATGAAAGCTGGAATAATATGTTTTCGGGTATATTTTTGTTGCAATAGTGGGAAGTTAGTAGCCAGGCTGGCACCACCTAGTGCCTCCACTCAATTTCATTTCTCTTCAGCGACTAGGTCAGGAATCGGAATACACTAGGCTGTTTGCAAAAACCCTGGAAAGGCAAGTTCGGGCACCAGCCAATCAGCGAAGAGCCATATATTCTGTGTTGTCAATAATTCCTGAGATCGAGGATTTAAAGCTAGAACAAAGAGAATGTTTGGTAAATTTTATCAAAGGGAAAGAATTTGTTGCCCTTCTTTCTACGGTATTTGGGAAAATCTTAATATACCAGTTAGCCCCGTTAGTGACGCATTACATACATCATGACCAAATAAAATGAAATTTATTAAATGAAAAAATGTACTCACCTACCATCGAGCAAACAAATTCTAACACTGCGAGGTCAGACGGTTTCTACAAAGTGAAACCGGCTGATGAATCAGGCTAGGAAGTTAGGGGAATAGGGGAAGTTTCTGCTGTTTTTTATGCAATATATAATAAGATCTGAAGACTAATAATTGTTTTTTCTGCCATTTATTTGTTGTAGCTCAGGCCTTTTAAAGTTACTGTAATTAAAACATGGTAAATTTTTCATAGTTTTTTATTATGTTAGATGGTCACAAAAATTTTTATTGTTACATGCATATTCATATTATCTTTACTGCAGTTTCATACATAGGGCCACTGTGACTGCTGGTATCAAGCCAGTCCGATTAAATGTCATATAAACTGCTGAGACTTGAAACTTGTCTATGCACCTTATACATTTTCTGTGCCTTTCAGAATGACTACCGTAAGCTGTCCATGCAGTGTAAGGACTTTGTGGTGGGGGTGCTGGACTTGTGCCGGGACACTGAGGAGGTGGAGGCCATCCTCAACGGAGACGTGGACCTGTGCCCCCCCAGTGCCTACAACCGACCCTGCCTCAGCCGCGTCAAACTGGCCATCAAGTATGAGGTCAAGAAGGTGAGATATAGCCAGTGGTAGAAGAAGTACTCAGTTTGGTTAAGTAAAAGTGCATATACTGAAGCAAAAAAATACTCAAGTAGAAGTATCACAAGAAAAAATTCCTGTGTCAGTGAAAGTATTAAAGCGCCCGTCCTTCAGATATGATTTGTTTTTCCTCCTTTTAACTTAAGTAATAGTTTCCCCCAGTACTTTTAGTTTAGTTTTACTTTTGTGTAATTTCTTGGACTTCTACTTTATACTTAAAATTAAAATTACTCTTACTTAAGTACAATTTGGAATCATCTTAAGTCAATTACGGCTTATACTGTAAGCAACATATAAATTGACTGATAACATTATAATAAAAAAGACTTGAAGTCCTACACAAAATTGACTCTTGTGAGCTTTAATTCATGTTATAATGTTGTTACCTTCTCAAAAACATACCTGCCGGAGTATTTTGTAGCATTCACACATTTTTGAGTAATTCTTTGTTATTAGTCTGACTACATCTCGAAAGCTCAAAATGCTCTGTTCCACCTTGTGATGTCATGTAGCAGGAGTTTTCAAATTCATAGCTACCTTTTATCTTCTGTTTAGTAGAGATTGACAATTCCAGGACTGATCTTATCCACATGATTCTAGTGAGGGTGCATAGAGTTTAAAAACACAGTGGAGCACTTCCTGTGTTACCACATGACATCACAAGTGGAACAGAATGTGTGAATGAAACAAAACAAAACTCCAAGCATGTTTTTGATGAGGAAACAACATTATAACATTACAATATCAGAAAATAGCATAATATGGGCCCTTTAAACCATGTCTTAACCAGCTGTAAACTAGACCAAAATCTAATATTAATTATAAAGTGGATTAACCCAGGGATTGACACTCAAAATCTCTTATCCCCATCCCCACACAAACATGCATTTTAAGTTTGTGCAGTAGAGGCCATTCTGAACTCGAGCCATTTACCAGACTTGAATTGTGACCCCTTCGTAATAGATTTCTCGCACCCTGCGTTAATTGTTTAACTACCTGTCTGTAAGTCAATAGAGCATGCAAACTGTAAATATTTACCATATACTTACCTTATATGTTTCACACATAAGTTCACACAGTTCCAACAGGACTGTAATTAAAGGTGTGTGCTCTCAGGCATGAGCTCTCTGAAGACCTTGAGTAAACACGAGACTGGCCCCTGTCTCAAAGTTAATCCTCGCTGTACAGAGGTAGTCCGACCAAATGTCAAAGTAAATCCTCTTTGTCTATCCTTCTACTCCACTACAACTTCTGCTCTGCGACCTTTCTGAGCTATAGTTTTCTTGAATTAGTATTAGTATTATAAGTATAAGGGATATTATGTATTTGTTCCTATAATGAATGTTGTCAATGTCAATATTGTAAGAAAAGTTAGGAAGCGAAAAATTAGACTGAAAGACTAGAACAACAATCTGTTATGTTATTTTTGTTTTATTGTTTATTTTTCATCACCACTAGAGTCTAGGCTCCATGGAAAGACCACTATCTCATATCCTGTTCAGTACACCCTATGCATTGATTGTTTTTCCCTGTCAGCTTGTATGTGCCATACCTATATTAACAATTTCTTCATAAACATGTTCCTTATATACATTTGTTTTGAGTTTGTACAGGTTGAATTACAGCAACATAATTGTTTTACATGTAACATAATGAATTATGTTTTAATTATATTTATGATACTCTTTCTTGAATGCACTTTTGCCTATTCCACCACCTCCGTGTGTTACCTACATGTTTGTATCAAAGGGTTATTATAAAAAAGTTATGTTATTGTGTATTAGATATGACTTTTTCCTGTTGTTTTTTTTATGTAATTATTTATCATTCACATTTTATATACACAATCCTCTATAAGTAAGTATACTTTTAAATAATTTGCACGGGTTAGTAAACAATCTATTTAGGCATAATTAGCGGGCAAACAATATTCCCAGTGCTAATTACCCACAATGCAGCTGGCTGGTGATTGCTATAGAAACAGCAGGTTGTGTTTATGTGAAGGTCCCTGTCAGATTGTGTCATGTCAGTGTTTGATTGCCTTATTGTGGAATAGGGGACCAGAAGTAGTTGTCAATGAGAGGAATTCTGGTGAAGGTGGCTGACTCCACTCATGTGTTAGAATCGCACTGGGTTATTTTAAATTCCATTAGTGAAGCTTGAATGATGTGAAGACACATGAGAACAACAGGACAACATATCTAGATTATTAGCATTGATTACGTTGCTGCTTTAGCTTGAACAAATGCATTAAATAAAATTTTATTACTCACCGCTATTCAAAAGACCCATACTAATATTAGCCTTATCCTTCTTCAGCATTATAATTTTTTGACATTTAAATATTTATCGGTTTTAACAATTTAACAAATGAACCACCCAAAAACAAGCAACCCTGTAAAATACAAAACATTAATGAAGATCAAAAACAGTAAGGGTTCAGTCTAACAAACAAAGATAAACTCAAACAGAGCCAAGATGCCACTACTTGGCGCCTTCCACTCTTACCACATTCTCCACTATTCTCCATCATCATCATTATAGATTTAAGGAAAGTAACCACCACCCTTGATTTGCCTCAGGGTATTGGATCTTGTCAAAATGTTCCTGTTTTATGGTCTTGGTTGAAATTAGACTTTGAATATCGCATTGCTTTCAGTTAAATAATTACAATGTGAATTATTCTCTGTATGTCATATATTGATTGTGTGTCAGTGCGCGTCATCAACAGCTACTAACATTGACCTGAGGACTCTGCCTTAGGGCCTTGGTTAGAATATGCTTCAGCTTCACAAGCCTTAATTATAAAACGAATAAAACATCAGAGTGATATTTATTAATACTAGTTTTAGATGTCAAATCTATATAAAAAAAAATATGAATATTCTCTAATATGTCTTCTCACCTTTTTATAGTTTGTGGCCCATCCAAACTGCCAGCAGCAGCTGCTCACTATCTGGTATGAGAACCTGCCAGGCCTGAGGCAGCAGTCCATCGGGGTGAAGTGCTGGACCGTCCTGGGAGTCACTGTGGGGCTGCCCTTTTTGGCTATTGCCTACTGGATCGTGCCATGTAGCAAGGTAATGAGACACACTGAATAAAACAACACATGTGTTACCATAGTTTCACCCTGGGCTTTCTGTCCATGTAAAGGTAAAGTGGAGAATCTAGATTGTCCTTGAATCAATATGGAGTGTATAGTAGACTGTCAGTGTAACCTTGGGAACAAAATGAAATACTCCAGCTTGATTGGTATCCAACCATGGGCTCCATTATGGCCAACTAAATGGGGCTGTAATAATGATCACAACTGAATAAAATAACAATTTTGAATAGTCACAATTAGGAAATTACAAAGTGATTATTTGCTGTATCATTGCAACCTCTGCCAGCATATTCCGTAGTAATTGTTCCAAAAAACTGGAGAAGTTGAAGGCATTTTGTTACTTTTCTCCTCTCTTCTGCAACAAGATATTCTGGATTACTATAAATAAAACCTGCAAGCCTCAAACCTTTAGATGTCAGCAAGTGTTCTGTAGTGCTATGGGTCTCTAATATAATTTGTTTCAGTTGATAGCTATCAAATTGCAAATAATATCACAGTTGCAATACTTGCACTTGCACTTGTCAGAAAAATCTTATTTAGCTTTTCCCTAAAATAGTTTTGCTGTAAAATGTATCTTGGATATCCAATATTTACATGTTGGTTGTGAGCTTGTTTCCAAATATGTGGTCTTGGAAAGCAGCTCTATTCTGCAAATGTGCTACCAGAGAGTCCTCCATCTTGTTGTCAAAATATTTACTCTGCATCCTAGACTGATAAATTGCTGGTGTGGCAAAGGCAGCATCCTCATTTAAACAGCTTCCCTGTAATCTCAAAGCGATTATCAGACCCTAAGGTACTTTATCCCATTTTACTAATACTCCATCAAGCAAATTACAATCTGTGAAGTGACTGGATCTGACACAGGCACACAGGCAGGAGCTGAGGGAATGGTTATGCAAATCTACTCATCAACCTTTATAACCCTTGCTTAAGTGGAGAGTATACTGGAGTGATCAAATAAATAAAATAAATAAAAGCAAGAGAGACACAGAAAGAGATCGCGACTCATGTTAAACGTTTGTGAGAAGTTGAAAAAACTTGTCACGAAAGAGCTGAGTCATAAATTACAGTACATTACACTTTGTCATAAAACCACCTGGGTGTAACAACAGGGAGCATTTGAGAGTGGAGGGAACAGTGTAGACTGAAGGGTTATGGAATGGAATGAAGTTAAAGATGACATATGAGTTTATTTCTTTTTATTAAGCCTTTTCCATATCGTACACATTGTTGCTCTCCCAGCTCTTCTAATGCTCTGTGTCATACACAGTGTTGGGAACTAACTGAATCAAAAATGTGTATTCAGAATACAAATTTTAAGTAACTGTGTTCCGGTACAGTTACTTTTTCATTTAGGGGTATTCCAAATACTGTTACTTTCCTTAAATCAAAGGAAGCCTTGGTGGTACTACATCATGCAATTTTAGCTGGACTGTACAGTATTAGAGAAAAAGAAAACACAGCTCTTGTGGTGAGTGCATGTCTGATTTTTCCTTCTCTAATTAGACGTACATTTATGAAGAACAAACACTGCAATAAAAACACGCAGTTTGTGATTATATGTCATTTTTTTCACTATAATTTAAATGCAACTCAGTGTAAATGTATTCTAAGTATTCAGAATACATTACTTTGATTGACCCATGTAAAGGAATATATTACAAAATATATTTTAATGCAGGTATTCAGTATTCCGTAAATAAATACATTTTCAAAGTATTCTTCCCATCACTGGCCGTTCATACATGTCAGCACAGTCTACAGTACTTATGCATTTTGGATTTGGACACAGGAGGTTTTAATTGATATGCAGTGGGGGGAGTGGGGTGGGCAAGGGGAACGAGATATAAGCATGATAGTTTAGGATTACACAGAAAGCAACAGGATCTAGTGGTGTTTTAAAGAATCCTAATGAATTTATACACTTGTAAAATAAGTCTGATTTGCCATATACAATGCCCGATAAAAAGCTTTGTAGACACACGATAGATTTAGCTCCATACAAAGACTGGCTTAATGATGAGTAACAATGTGCCAAATTATTCATAAACTGTGCAAATGAAAAGGCATTCCTTCATAGCATTTACCAAACACCTGCCTATCAGATCAATTTAATGTGTTTTTTATCTTCTTTAATAAAGCTGAACATAGCAACATCTGACTCTCATTTCAAATAACATCTCAAATCAACTGGGACAAATTAAAAAGATTATTATTTTTTTGTTTCTGAATATGCAAGAGGACTGTCAATGTGAGACAGAGCAAGAACTGAGAGACCAAGTTAATTGCTTCAGAAATCTCTTTAGGGGGAAAATTTGTAATTTTGGAAGCAATAAAAAACAAATTTCTATTTATTGTGTCGTATTTATTACAGGAGGAGAAAGATAATTTGTTTTGCATTATTTGTATTAGGCTCTGTAGCAAATTTTTACAGTCTTCGTCAAATGTCCTCATTCATAATTATTCACCTGAAAATAAAACGCTTTATAGAAACTTGACCTATAGACTCTTGGGAAAATGTCATTTGGTTGCCACGCCCCTACAGAGACATCTTACAAATACTAAAGAAATCTATAATGTAATTCCATGATAATATGAGCTGAGGGTTAAAATGAATGACGTGACCATTCAGGGAGACATGACTGGCAGATCTGTTTATCAATGCTAATGCTAACCTGCTGTCACAATCAATTTGACAAGGATCTCCTGTTGTTTATAGCTGCTACATGTTACGCGCCACACCCACATTACCTCCTATTTTCACTAATCACTTCTTCAGTCTCCCCAGACCCGTTTAATGTGCCCTCATATTTTTGCATAAACCCGGTCTTACTTTACTTATCCCAGGAGGAAAACCAAAGTGGGATGACTGTGGAAAAAGTGCGATCAATATGCACAGGACAAGGTGACAATCCATTTTCATTAAACGCAGATTGACTGGACACCGCTGCATATTGAATTAGACCTTACAAGCAAGATCCTGCTACATTTGATTAAACCAGGGATCAGATTTGAGACTGTACCTCCAAGTATCATTAGACTAGCTAATACAATCCACATCAAACTTAATTCTTACAATTCAAGGAGAGAGCATGCTTCATTAATACTAGCCACCAAAAGAAGTAGTTTAATATGAGCTTTGGTTTTATTGGCTCTTAACAAAAAGAGCTGCTATGACCCTGACAAAATTGAAAACCACTACACAAAAATCAATAATGGACTAAAAATAGATGTTTCCCTATGATCGTAGGATCTATAGCATCTATACCAACAAACTACGTGTTTATGTAGAAACCAAATCTATTATCACAGCCAGTATTTTTTCACCAAGCCCTATTTTAAAAGCAGATGTGTTGTTGATTCCAACACCCCTCTCCTACCTGACAAACTGTATTCTAAAAAATATGGTAAATGGTCACATTTTTATATAAAGCCTTTCAAGGTGCCTTCAAGTTACTCAAAGCACTTCATATCAAGGAGCCACTGATCCATTCATACAACAGAGTACACTGACACTTGAGGCAAGGTGCGTTGGGTGTTTTGCCCAAGGACACAATGACAGCATTCATCTGTGGGAGCTCAATTTGCAACATACAAAGTTAATGTGCCTTTAATACAAACTTCATGCAGTGCTATTAAAATGCTGTAATTTTTGGTCAGTGCATATTTTTCTCTCTATATGAGGTACTACACATTTGTAGTTGTTCCACCATACCTCTACATACAGCTACAGTTTATCTCCTCAGCTGTTACTGTTTCAGATGAAAAGATGATGCGGATAACTGCAGCTCTATATTACATTTCACATTCTCTTTTACTCTACATGATCTTTATCCAATTCCATTTACTTCAGAAAGACCAGATCAGCATTTATCCCATCACAGCCACCACCACACAGGTACACAGCTCCTAGAGAGAGCCTTTTCTTCGCATAGCACTTAGCCTGATCGGGACTGACCATCTTATTTTCTCCAAAGAATGGGATGGATGGCTCTTATCTCTTCAGCGTATGGTGGTAATGAAGGATCCAGGCGCATCCTGGTGGAAGGTTGAGGTTTACAGGGTATTTTAGGGTTAAGATTGTACCTGACAGCCCTAGTCCCTCCTGGTTTACTAGGCTGTGCTGTAAGGAACAAGTATAGAATGTGATATTTTGCACAGAATGGATACCCTGTGGGTTGTTAATATTGAGCACAGCAGGTTTAGAGAGTGGCAAATGTTCGGTTTGCCTATGGGGTTCAGAGTATGTGTGTATGTGTGTGTCCATTATAGCAGCTTTTCACATTTGCTGCATTCATAAGAAAACTGAGGCTTGCAGTGTACAGAGTGTTGAAGACCACCCGTTGTAGTGCACAAAGTGGTCTCCATATGGCACTGTTCCACAAGAAGTGTCTCCCAGTGTGAGTGGAGTCTGCTTAGAGGCTGGTAATAAGCACAAACACAGATCACAACAGCTGCTGCGCCTCTGCTTTCATATAGACGTGTGATTAGCGTAGCATCTCGTTAAAGCATTATTTGCACTAATCCGCATGTAGATTTATAATAATTTTGAGAGAATCCTAGAATTTCCATGGCAGACAACCAACAAGGCAATTCACTCTGGTGACTCACAACCCTGGTATGCAAAAATGAATGTAAAAATTGTATTATTTAAAAAAATATATATATGTCATAAATATATATATATATATATAAATCTATAATAGTTCTTATCCCATTATTGAGCTTAATACAGAAAACACTGCTAATTAAAACAAAGATATTTTGGGAAAGATAATTAGCAGAAAAGCTCATGAATTATATTTTTTTCTAAAATGACTTAGCTTACAACTACAAATGGCAAATAAGTAGAATAAATTATAGCAAAGAATGGCAGTTTTATGGTCACATGTACAAGGGTAAACAGACTTCTCACTGGACATTAGTTATTCCAGTGTTTCACAACTAGTGATATGGGCAGTGGCTATCCTACACTGTTTTGCGCCCCAGGCACCCCTCATGTCAGGTGAAGTGCCTTGCCCATAGACACAAAAAGTGTAATGGCATACAATGTAAAATTCCTGGCAAAGCAATGACATCACCATGGAAACAAACAGATTAAGGGCTTAAATGGTACTCAGAATAAGGTGCATTTCATTGTACCCGTAGGGAAATTTTTCCTGTGCATTTGACCTATCCTTCAATGCTTCTGGGGTATCTCCTCTGGAGCAGTGTGCACCACAGCACATTGTGAGCACCATCTCCATTATCTTGTGCTGGTCTTGGTCAGGACTACCTTAGCTGGAGAATTTTACCTTTGGTGCATGTTTTGGATTGATAGGGAAAACCAGAGTACCCTCAGAAAACACACACAGACACAGGGAGAACATACAAACTCCACAAAGAAAGAGTCAGGTGACCCAGGGATCAAACCTTCTCACTGTGAAGTGTGATGGTTAGCCAAAACAAAACTTTTAATTTATCTGTTCTCGTCTGCAGCTTGGTCAGATCCTACGGAGTCCCTTCATGAAGTTTGTTGCTCATGCGGTCTCCTTCACCATCTTTTTGGGGCTGCTGGTGATCAATGCCTCCGACCGCTTTGAGGGGGTCAAGAACTTGCCCAACGAGACCATCACGGACCACCCCCGCCAGGTCTTCAGGGTCAAGACCACACAGTTCTCCTGGACAGAGATGCTCATCATGAAGTGGGTCCTGGGTGAGTGCATTTATTTAATATAACTTAAACAATTCAGACACAACTTATTTATTATTTTTTGAAAATTAAGAATTGATTCAGTGTGTATAATTTGAGTTTTACGATAATCAATTTAAAGTATACCATCCATTCATTTGATATAGAATGGACAAAATCAACATTCATTTTTTTACATACAATATGTGACTTTGTTAAGATTCTGATTATTCTGATTACTGCAATTTATTAGGTTCAGCTCATCATGAAATCAGCAAGAGACTCTGCTATCCCCACTCCCCCACCTCCATCCACTTATGTTGTTATTGTCCTTTGTCATTGTAATTATCAAGTGTCTGCGTTATTGCACGAGTATGGGTCTTCATGCTATGTTACTTGTTATGATATGGATAATATATATTTTTCAACAGCAACTGAACAGAAGAAATCCAAATGTAAAAGTATAAAGGTTCTATAAAGCATGACATTTTATAAAGGCCACAGTATGGGGTGATACCTGAACCATAGCAAAAAAATATTTTAAAATGATGTAAAGGTTAGCGGTGATGGAAGGGATACTATACATTTTAAATGTGTTGTTTATGGCTATATGTGTTAGTGATAATGTCTTTTCAGGACTTATTTATGGTTCTGTGCAATAGCAAGGTCAGGTTAGCTTGTACATTTCATGGAATGGTTTATTAGATATTGAATATCCTGTCTGTGGGATTGCCAATGGTAGTTCCACCCTCACAAACAAGTTTAGTGGTTGAAAGCAAAGAAAGGAGCATCTTTTTCACAATTTAAATTTAAGGTTTTCCTGGGTCTTTGCCTCAGGAGTCAAACTTACAAATAGAACCTCTTTCCCTGCCGTTTTTCAATATTGGTGTGGAAATTTGCAGGTTGGTCCAGATGGCCTGAAGTGTCAAGGGAAATAGTATAGAAGATTATAAGGAAGGCATTTGAAGTAAAACTTGGATGTAACCATTTTGGATTGAATTTTGATCATTATAAAAACGCAGCCAGGTGGAAATTGGGGAAGAGAACATGCTGTCAAAATGCCAAATTTGACAAATACGTAGCCATTGGCAGCATATGTCAGACCACAGCTGTTTCCCATCTGGATTCGAGATACAATAGCATTATTTGTAAGTTGGACCTATACTTCTATTTTTAACTTTTTGCAAATTTGAATAGCAGCGATTTTTCCATCTGTGGATCTTTTAGTAGCAGGTGTTGACGTCTGCTGCCGGGTGTTTACTATTTAGGCTGTTTGTCCTTGCACGAGCCGACAGGCAATTGTAATTCCAGTGGCATACTTCGAAAGCCTCGTAATTGTTGTAGTGATGATGCTGATCAGGGGTCTTTTCACTAAGCAATTTTCAGCCTGTTTTGGCTGTGGAGAGGAAAGACTGAGTGCTTGTCAATGTGTCTGTGTGCACCTGTGATCCAAACGGAGATGTCTGAGTGTTGTGTGAATTACAAGCTTTGATGTTGTGACATTTGTAATTGTATTTGTGAATATATGCCACAAAATAAAATGTTGCGTGGGTGAAAATATAAATTGAAAACAGATGATTTTAGATGGGTCATTTCTCCATGTCCTTGAAAACCATACAAGTCTGTCTTTCATGCACTTGTAACTTTGATAAAAAATAGCTTATTGTTGTATTGTAAACCAAATGGAAAACATCCCCCTACTTACAGACGTGGACAAAATTGTTCCCCTCTGGTAATGAAAGCAAAATCAACAATGGTCACTGAAGTAACTTGAAACTAAGAAGCAATAATGAATAAAAAAAATCCTGAAAAATAACCAAAGAAAATCAGACACTGTTTTTGAATTGTTGTTGAATAGAATAATTTAAGAAAAAATAGCTAATGAAACTGGCCTGGACAAAAGTGATTGTAAAGATTGTACGTAACTGGACAATAGGGACATGTTAAACTTAGGTGTGTCCTCTAATTGGCATGACAGGGGTCTTCAAACTTGTCCTCAGTCAGTCTGCCTGTTTAAAGGGTGACATGTTGCCATTGTGCTGTTTGGAGACATGATGGATACAGCACTGAACATGGACCAGAGAAAGAGAAGAAGAGAACTGTGTCAGGAGACTAGAAAGAAAATTATAGAGAAGCAGGTTAAATATAAAGGCCATAAGACCATCTACAAGCAGATTGATGTTCCTGTGATTACAGTTGCACATGTACTTCAGAAGTTTAAGGTCCAGGACTGTTGCCAACCTCCATGGACATGGCTGCAAGAGGAAAACTGATGACAAATTGAAGATGGATTATATGAAAGAGCCCAGAACAACCTCCAAAGAAATTAAATGTGAACTTGAAGGGCAAGGTACATCAATGTCAGATCACACCATTCGTCACTGTTTATGCCAAAGTGGACTTCATGTGAGGACACCACTGTTGAAAGCAAATCATTAAACAGTGACACTGGAATTTGCCACAATGCATATGGACAAGCCCCAAAGCTTCTGGCAGAATGTGAGATTAGCTCTATGTTCACAGACGCAAAAATGAAGCAGACCAAGAAAAGAACACTATCTCTACTATGAAGCATGGAGGAGGCTTGGTTTTGATCGGGGGCTGTTTTGCTGCATCTGGCACAGGGTGTCTTGAATCTGTGCAAGGTACAATGAAATCTCATGACTAACAAGGTATTTTGAAACAAAAAGTGTTACCTAGTGTCAGAAAGCTTGGTCTCAGTCATAGGTCATGGGTCTTCCAACAGGATAATGACCCAAAACACACAGCTAAAAACAAGAATGGCTAAGAACAAAACATTGGACTGTTCTGAAGTGGTCTTCTGTGAGCCCAGATCTAAATTCTATTGAACATCTGAAATGAGCTGAAACATGCTGTCTGGAGAAGGCAACCTTCAAACCTGAGACAACAAGAACAGTTTTCTCACGAGAAGTGGGTCAAAATACCTGTTGACCAGAGCAGAACTCTCATTGACAGTTATAGAAATCGTTTGATTACAGAGCTTGCCTCTAAAGGTTGTGTAACAAAATACTTAAATACTTAAGTTAAGGGTACCATCATTTTTGGTCCAGGCCAATTTCATTATTTAGTTTTTTGTAATGAACGTTTGTCAAAAAAGATATACAAAACTGTAAGTGTTTACATTTTAAGTCAAGATCAACTTTATTTATGTAACACATTTATTTAAAAAAAAACTATGGTCCCCAAAGTGCTGTACAGTACAGGACTACAAAGGAAAAACTACAAGAAATATAAAAGACACAAAAAAGCAATACTAAATAGAAATACAATAAACAAAAAAAACAAAAAAATGGAAACAGGTCAACTTGACTATTATTATTAAAAATATTAGTGTTAGGGTTTATAAAAGATCGCATGCATTCCTCTTCCCACAGGTATGATCTGGTCTGAGTGTAAGGAGATTTGGAGTGATGGGCCGAGGGAGTATGTTCTTCACCTGTGGAACGTCCTGGACTTCGGGATGCTCTCCATCTTTGTAGCATCGTTTACTGCACGATTCATGGCTTTCCTCAAGGCGACCAAAGCACAGCAGTATGTGGACATGCACGTGCCTGATGACGACCTTAGCAACGCCTCACTGCCCGATGAAGTGGCCTACTTCACTTTTGGTGAGTAGAGTTTTACTATACTATAAGTGTATTCATAAGATTCTATTGTAAAGACTGAAATTGTCTATATACCTGTTGCTGCCCTCCAGTAGATATTCAAGATCGGCCACTTGAGACCATAAATAAAAGTATTTATTAAATATGTTTTGTTGGGGGCTAGTGTTCATTTTAAATTAGATTTAATGTACAACTATATTAGTCCTATTGGCACATCCCTCACAGATAAATCAGTTTTCCAATGCAAAGAAATATAATTTGTGACATAAATATGTATGTACGGGAAACACAGGGGAACACTTTTTCTTGGGGTTTGAAATGTGCTGTTCTATGTAACTGCTTAGGTTTACACACATTTCCATACATTTTGAGGGCCACTGCCTTGTAGTTATGTTTTTCAGTGTCGGATTTTGTCTCTCAGAGCATTGTACTGTAATTATGATTTTCAAAATTTTCTTTTTTTCTTTTTTTATGGTATTTTTTAAAATATTTTTTTTATTGAGTTATTATGCAGCCTTTTGAAAACAAACCATGTTTGTTGTTGAGACAATTGTCAATATAACCAACTCATCTTGAAGATAAAACAAAACAAAACGTTTTAGTTTCATAACTGGGCGAGATATGCCAAGATGTCAACCATTTCAAGAGGAATCTTTGGCTCTTTTGCACCAATTTCAGTTTCAATTGCTATTTGTATTTTTATATTGTATTTGGCCTGCTGTGCTACTGTATAAAAATAGAACCATAATCACATCTTAGGCATCATCGGATCTTCAAATTAGCTGTAATTGTGAGTACAAACCCATGGATGGTTTGATGTGTGTGATGCTGCAGGCGGACTGTCCCCAGTGGCCCTATGCGGGAACCTTCATCAGTGCTGTCATCTGCTGGACTGACTCTGTTATAACAAACCACTAATGCATCAGTGTGTGTCAACATAGACCTAATTTTTTCTAGCTCTGTAGTATTCTACATGTTCACCATTATTATTATTATTTATTATTTTATTTTTTTTATGACAGAAATAGTTTATTATTTTATATGCTTTTATTTGGCCATAAACATCTAACATAATATATATCATATTCTGTATCTGTAAACAGACTCCTATAAAAACAATTTTACAGGATCATTGTACATGCTTTTAACACTTTTATATCTTTAATCTGCAAATGTTTCACTGTCTCACATCTGTATTCACTTTTTCATGTTATGATTGATGTGTGAGTATATTCTGTTTGTGCTCTATTATGCTGCCTCTTGGCCAGGTCGTCATTGCAAATGAGAAGGTGTTCTTAATTGACTTACCTAATTTGTTGTCCTTCTCTCCTTATTTTAAGTCAGACTCACCTATTTGTCATTTCTCTTGTATCTTTACCCTGACATCATCAAAACACATTTCCCAGAGTTAATATTACTTTTAAACAGGCCCTTTCAGACAACAGAATGAAGCAATTTTCACTCAACAGGTTAACCCAACCATGGCAATACAAAACCAAGATTAGAAAACATTGATTTTTAACTTCAGTATATTCCTTTTCCTCCCACAGCCAGAAACAAATGGCGCCCCTCCGACCCCCAGATCATCTCCGAGGGCCTGTATGCCATTGCTGTGGTGCTCAGTTTCTCACGTATTGCCTACATCCTGCCAGCCAATGAGAGCTTCGGGCCACTGCAGATCTCCCTCGGCAGAACAGTGAAAGACATCTTTAAGTTCATGGTCATCTTCATCATGGTGTTTGTGGCCTTTATGATAGGAATGTTTAACCTCTACTCATACTACCTGGGAGCCAAGTACAACCCTGCCTTTACCACGTGAGTACAAAAAAATGCATGGTTTTCTAGTGCACTGGTTGGTTTGTTTGATCTAGTTATGAATTTTAATTGGATTTATTGCTGTAGTTATGTGTTTAGTGTTGTTGTCCATTCATAAGAGGTAGTCTGTGCTGTTTTAGCTACCAACAAAACTGAAATACACCTAAAAAAAAAAGTAAGGATATAATTAACTATATAACTTTGTCTAAACAAAATACTTAATGTGGTATTTATAATGTTTGTAATAACTTGTTTCAAATTATTTAAAGGGCCCATATTACAGTATTGTCTGATCTGTATTATAATGTTGTTTCCTTTAATTGTTTGAAACAGAAAACACTGTTTTCCACCTTGTGATGTCATGTGGTAATACAGGGACTGCTCCAATGTATTTTTAAACTCCATACATTTTTATTAGAATCTTTTGGATAGTTTCAGCCCTAGAACTGCCATTCCCTACTGAAGAAAATGTAAAAGGTAGCTGTAAACTTGAAAACTGCATTGACTACATGACATCACTTGATAGAACAGAGCATTTTGAGCTTTGTAGACAGACAATTAATGCAGGATTACTTAGACATGTGAATGAAGCTTGATGAACTCCAGGTATGTTTCTCATGAGGTAACAGCATTATAGGATGGCTTAAAGCTCACAAGAGTCAGTTTCCCGTAATATAAGACCTTTGAGCTTGAAGGTCCATCCAATCCTCATATTCTTCCTCTGTCAGTATGAGGGTTTTTGTATGAGTTGTTCTAGGTAGAAATTGCCTGTAATCTCTGTCCACCTTTCACTCACAGCTGAGAGGAAAGTCAGCCTCAATGCACGTGCAATAATATTTCATATTGCCCCAAAGCAAAAGATGATATGCAATATGATATGGCCCAGCCCCACTCACTAATTCATTACTTTAGGAATGAATACTTTGAATTCAGATCTGGGCTTTGATATGTTCTGCTATATATATTTGAAACATTTGCCTAGTTCTGTATATTTGTATTTGGGTCACATTTAGCCAGTATCTTTGTATCAGCATTGTCACTATTCCCCCAGGACAATCCAAAATCAGTGCATGGCCTGACTGTTTGTGGAGTTAATTTAATCAGTTCATTTATCATTGGGAAAGATCGAAGTTTAATTTCGTCCACAGTCTGTAATTCTGTTGGTCAATGATTTTACACTCACATTGCATGTTCTGCAATGAAACTAATTAAGTAATTAAGCGAAACACACTAGTCTAGTGAAGCAATTAACAGTAGCTTATAGAACATTTGTATTTTCTTGATATTGTACAGATGTGTTGGTACAGATTGGTAGCCATGGGACTCAATAAAGATCAACTATTTTGCTTTTGAGTACCTATTCAAAATCTTAAAGAGGCAATATATATTATTATTCAGTGCATTGTCCATGTGGCTTAACACAATGCCCATCTGCTATTACTTTTCACTATAGAAAAAAATATAATAATACTAATAAATCTTGGGTAGATTAATGATCATGTCAGCTTTCAGTGGTAACAAACCTATAGTCTTCTTCTCATCACTATCTATGTTAGGCAGTGAATATATTTGCAGTTATAATAATAAATAGGGTTAATGGCACTTTCTATGGATAAAAGTTCTCAATCAATCTTGCATCTCCATCTTGGCCATGGCACTATTCTTGTTAACTTATAAATAGTAGCCTTTGCTTCAACCATAGAAAATCTAAGAACTTGTGAGCAGTTCAGTGACTATGCTGGAGTTAATTGTGGCAATTATTAATTGATAAAGAGCCCGACAAAAGACAAAAACGTGTTTAGTACAATATAATTAACTTTTTTAAGCACAGTCACTCAGAATCTAACAAATGCAGAAAAGACCTGAGCCATTTTGTAACAAGTGCTGGTCAAATAAGTTCTCTCAAATTGTTAGCAATCAGCATGGTTTTGGGATTTGCCCATTGACATCAGACAATAACATTTCTTACACAACTTTATGAATAAAAACTAAACTTTAATTCAATATAGACTCTTTACCAAAACAGCACTTGCATAGTTATTTCCAGGCTATATCTCAGTTAGAGATTTGTTAGCATTTGTTATGTGTATGTATGTATTGTTTTTGTATGGATAACATTATAACATCTGGTGAAATCCTCATGATTGTGCCATTTGGAGTTGTTCACTGGAGTTTTAATGTCAACTTAATCTATCGATACTTTGAAGTGACATCACAGAGGGGGTGTTCTACATGTATCTCTATTGGCATTGGAATGTTCAGCAGTTAACATGATGACACAATGCACACATTAGCCAACTCAGACAAAAAGATTTAAGAACAAAATTATTTAAACAACTAATTTTCAGGAACCTGTGATTAATATAAGCATTCATGGTCCTGTTTAAGGGTTTGATTTTTTAACAAAAATGGTGAGAGTGACTATCTTGAAGAACTGAATAACTTGTGACTGTAATTTTATGTATAAGACGCAGTTTTAAATGCACAAATGATCACAACTGTTGTAGTTTAACCCAAGTCACCTCATTCTGCTCAGATTGTGTTAAAACAAACTCAGATTAAAATCTAATTTGAGTAACAGAACTTCTAACAGAGTAGTGCTTTGAGTTAGCATCATGTTGATGACAACAGATGCAAAGTATCAGTTGTATTCTGTATCTTGTATTTATACATATTTAGAGGCATTCAATCATTTCTGTCATTGACCATGTCATGTGCATTTTCAGTTCAACAACACTCAAACTAGTACTTTTTATTAATGTTTATTCCCACACAACATGTAAAGAAGCATTCTGCACCTTAGCCCATGTGCTTGTAAGTCTTGTCAGAAAACAAATTCCAGTGGGGGCTCATTTTGTTGCTGCAAATGCTGCCAAATGCCATCCTCTGCTGCTCACTCGCCTGATTATTTTGAACATCAATCATCCAGATCAGTCAGATTATTGAGGATGAAGATTGCTCTGAATGACATTCTTCAAGTCGACTCAAAAAGTTGTATCATTGTCACTCTAGCTAGCTATAGATCACTGTTTCTCTTTAAGTGAAAACATCTAACCCACACTCTACAGAACTAAATGTAATTTTATATCTTATATTTAAAAATGTATTTGTTAGTTTAGTTTATTTACCATTTGTAGTCAAAAACCACACAGGAAAAAATGTGCAAGAATCTCAAAGTGCACCATGAAACAGTAAAAACAAACACATAAACAAATTGACATTCATTACATATGACATGTTGACACTATGAAGTAAACAAGCTACACAAGATTAAGTAGCTAAAAATAGTAAGGTGGTACATCAAAATTCAAAGTGCATTGTTCAGGATTATAACAGCATGTGGAAAGAAGCTGTTGGCATGACAAAAAAGTTTAGCATTTAATATAACAGAAAAACTTAGCAGTTAGCCAGAGTGTTGGAGACATGTGGAAACACTTATTAAAAAATATTCCATTCAGTCCTTGTATTTGCAGTGTTCGCTAGTGCTAGGCTAGAGCTTGTCAATGGCCATAGTTATCCTGCCATTAAAAACAGTCTTACCCACTCCACAAAGCACCCAAAGCAAATCTATTATTACACCAGACTGTCAATGTGAATGTCTGTGTTGATAGAACAATTTTAGATGTAAAACCAACCTTACATTTGAAGGATTTATATCTGAGCAGCACCAGCAAGTTGTACTTCCTGATGGAAAGCTTGGCAGCGGCGGACTGATATATGAGAAAACAGTTCCTCATCATGTGACGATTCATGCAATGCAAGGTTAGTTTTATTTCAAACATTTTTCTATCAACACAGACATTCACATCGACAGTCTGGCATAATAATAGATTTGCTTTGGGTGCTTTGTGGAGTGGGTAAGACTGTTTTTAGTGGCAGGATAACTCTGGCCATTGACATGTGCTTGCCTAGCACCAGCGAACACTGCAAATACAAGGACAGGATGGAATATTTAAAAAAGTGTCTCCGCACGTCTCCAACACTCTGGCTAACTAGGAAATGAGGTCCTATGTCCAAAATTCTGTGCCTTTAAATGTAACTCTGTACAAGCTATGCTTTGTTACCTTGCATCCTTTCTGTGAGAGGAGTTGCCTCTCCTCAGAGCTGACATGTCACTTGGTCTGGTGGCATCACCTGCTTTGCACCATGGAGATAGAGATGTTTAATCCTGTTGCCAAGCAAAGAAATAACACCTCATTGGAGATAAGCAGGTGGCAGACCCTCCTCCAGGAAAGTTAAATGGTGCACCTTTTAAAAATGTGTTTAACACTTTAACCTGATCGCCTTTCTTTGAGTATGTCTCCAGTGAACCATTTTCTTTATGTTCTCACACAGAGCAGACTCTTAGATTGTGTTGCATAAGAGTTGCAGCCCTATAGCTCATCTTTAAGTGCTGTCTCTATTCATAAAAAGTTTCTCTGTAGAGTGAATTGTGACTCTGTTCAAAACTCACTCTATATATTCAGTTGTGTTAAATTGCTGTGAATACTTAGTGAGAACTTGCAAATTTTTTTTGCTTGGCCACAGAGCAGTGGTTTTCAGGGCACTGAGTTCTACTTGGCTGCTCACACATTGCAAAAGAGATCCGGGCATCGTGACGGGCATGGGCAGAGCAGCAGCAGCATAAAACCTGGAGTTAAATTTAAGTAGAGCCTATATAACTACAGAGGTACAGCTGACAGGTGGAGCAGGTGGCCACTATCTAGGGAGGAATCAAGTGTTATAAGAGGAGCACAGGTAGAGAGTCGGATTGTGTGCATGGGTGTGTGTCTGTGCATGTGTGTATGTATATGTATGTATATGTATGTTTGCGTGTGTTAATGCAATCATTCATCGTTCATTCCTTCATGTGACATTGTAGCATTCTAGTATGTCTGTTTTATGAGGACTTGAGGACTTCTTTACTAGCCAAACAATATAATAAACAACAAACATTTATAATATTGCCATAGATATGAACTATTTTCCATCATTGTGCATTCTGAAATTGATGTTTAGTG